ATGTTCTCAAGATCCTGTCCAAAGCTTTCTTACAAACGACCCTGGCTCTTATTAATTTTGGTGGCAAATCTGAAGAGTGATCTGTCTTCTTCTGAAGGCTCTGTGACTGGATCAAAGGCTGCATTAAGACTTCTGACTCATTAAATGGTCTGTCTCTTCCCTTTCAAGCTGAGGTTCATTTAACCAGCACTGTCTTGCTCTGTGGAACCCTTTTTTCTGAAGTGTGGTAGGTTAACCTGCTCGGAGGTGGGTTTGTGCTCTCCCCATCGCTGTTGTTGCTGTCACATCTTAGAGCTGTAGTTTCACAGAGCTGTCCTGAAGTCTTTATTTCGATGGAAGAGTGGGAGGTTGAATCACCAGCAGTTACTTAGTTGATTGTGGGACCACAGCTGAGCATATGCTTGGTGCAAAAAGATAACTTGAAATGTTTCTGTCCGTGTGTATCCTGGCATCAGTGCTTCATTTCTGCTGGTAGAAATCCTTACCTGCCTACGTGGTATTCAGCAGAGAATCTGTGCAGTGCTGAAGACCTGCCATTTATCGAGAAGCAGGACGTTTACTTGCCTTTCCTACTCTCAGTGTAGGAGGCATCAATGTGTACAGTGCACACTGCTGATGCAAAGGCTGTGTCCTTGCACTGGTGGGTACAGAGACACGCGGGCAAAACCAACCTTTTATTGCTGTTTTCCGTTTGAGTATTTGGAATGTGATGCCAGTGTTAGAGTCCAGCTGTGGTCATCCCTCTCTTTAGAGAGCTTAATCATCAGAGCATCTGGTAGGACTTTTTTTGAAGCAGAGAGATGGTTGTGGTGGGCAGATCTGGCATCCAAATGAGTTGCTTGTATGTGTCTTTAGTTGCAGAGGAGAAGAAGTCTTTAAAGCGGACTTTTCAGCAAATCCAAGAGGAGGAAGATGATGATTACCCTGGGAGCTACTCACCCCAAGACCCCAGTGCTGGGCCGCTGCTGGTATGTGGGGCAGGTTGGGAAGGGGAGAGGTTCCAAAAGCCACCTCCTGTGGGGTGCAGCCACAAGGTGGAGCTGCCAACAAGTGAAATGCTTTTGATGGAGACATTCCACCGGGGGTTGGGAAGTCCATGTGGAATGGAACAGGTTCTTTTCTCATGCTGAAGCACCACTTCTGAGTGATTTCAGGTCGTCTAAACCAAGGTGTGAGTAGTACCCACAGTAAAGAGTGTCGGAGCACTGCGAGAAGAGGAGACCATGTTTTAAATTCTTTCCAAGATCAGTGTGTAGTCTCTCAAATGCAAAGTTGTAGCACAGTTAAAACTTAGGTTTGTTTGGGTTTTTTTTGTAGGACATCTCTCTCCATGAGCTATTAAAAAGCTCAACCTTTGATGGATTTGTATGGAGTTGGTTAGGAAAAGCAGTTCTGAGGACTTTGAGGCTGACATGTTAGTGGCGTGGAAATGGTAGGAATGAGATAGAGGGTCATTCTGACCATTTAAGGCTGCAAAATGAACATATGTGAAACAATTGTCTATTTGAAAAGGATTAAAAAATATACTGTCCAGCTGGTAGACTTTAAACATTGAAAAATAAAAATAAATAACAGTTCTCAGGGAAATAAATGAGAGATTTTTGTTGGTTTTACTTCCAGATGCCTTGCAGCTTCTGATTTCTCTTGATGATAAGCATTGTGTTTGTTACTGTTGGAAATCATTAGCAGTTTGCAAAGAGGTAGTAAATATTAGGTAATGAGCTTTGTTATTTTTCAGATTAAAAATATTTAAAATTTTTCACTGTTTTTATTAGTTTTCAAACAATTGAAATGTAGTTTAAACATCAGTGGTGTTGTTTACAGGGCTAGTGTTCCAGTTTCACAAACCTCCCATTAAAACTTTTGGGTTTTTTTAAACAAAGAAACAGCAATTCTTTTATTCCTGTTCAGGGAGCCTTTCTTCCTCCCTTTTTTGTTTTTTTTGAGCCAGGAGGAAATAAGGTGTGTCAGGGGAGGTGCTCCTAAGGCTGTCCTCATCCGTGTCCTTTCTAAGCTAGGATATATTTTGAGTGTATTCATTTAAACTGACATATTTTTCCTCAACACACTGAAACCAGCTGAGAGATGAAGTTGTTGGGGATCCAGTGGGATCCAGTTTAAATGCAGATTGCAGTTTGCTGCCAAAGAGACAGTTGAGCTAAGTGAGGACAGCAGTGGCTTTCCAAAATCAGGACAATATAAAGTTTGCTTTTTCTGGTACTGGTGTGGTACGAGCTTTGTCTCAAATGATCATTTCTGTTAATTGGAATGAGAAGTTTTCCACTGCAGTGTCTTGAAAACTATGATCCTGCCGTGATTATGCGCAAGTTCCTGAACACTGGGATGTTGTAAACTTAGTGAATATTCCCTGTGCTGGGAAGCAATTGTTTAAAAGTTACTTGAAGAAAATACCCAGAAAATGGTTGTTTTCAAAGGTGGTGACCTCAGATGCAGTGGCCACATCCACAGGAAATGGCCTGTGAAGTTACCTGGTTTTAATGTTAGCTAATTGTCTTGTAGACTGAGGATTTGATCAAAGCCCTACAAGACCTGGAAAATGCAGCATCAGGAGATGCAACAGTGAGACAAAAAATTGCCTCCCTGCCTCAGGAAGTTCAAGATGTTTCATTACTGGAGAAAATTACAGGTATGAAACTGGAAGATGAGTGAACATGGGACAAAGAATAACTTAGAAATCAAAGGGTCTTTTCTTTAAATAATCACAAGGTATGGTGGAGTGAATTCCTGCTTTTGTGCCCTTTTTTGTAGCTCTTGGGTAATTAACAGATAGCAATTCTCTGAAGCAGAATTGAAGATGGAACTTCATAGCTTCTTCCATTTTTTTTGCTTGGACCAAGGCTTTTGTACTTGGAGAGCATCAGCAGCATTTTGCAAGAGCGTGAAGAAAATAGGGCCAGAGTTCTCAAATGGGTGTGTTTGATTTTGAACATCTTGACTTAGATATTTTTTTAGTGTTATCAGACTGTGCTGACTACACAAATACTCCTTGATTGCTGCAGAAAAGGAAACTCACTACCCCCATTAGTCCATCAGCCTTTGTTTAAACAAACTTGTGCAATTGTATTTGAAAAGTCATCTTAATAGAAGCATTTAAAGGTTGAACTGATTTGGCTCTTGTTCCTGGAAGTAGTTTTAATTTAGAACTCATTGTAAACTCACTTATTTAGTCCTTTATAATGCACTTACAGAGTCCAATTGTGAAGTCCAGAGTTCAACTCTGACGTTTGCTTGGATTGATAGATGAGGAGTTATTCAGAGAAAAGAGGGATTAAAAAGTGCACACCATGTTTAAAATGTGAAAACCACCCGATTTGTTTAACTGAATTCTGTAGTACAGACTAAACTTTTAGCTTAATTAACCTGTTTATAGAGCCTAACTTCATAGATTCCTATCCCCCAGCCCAGTCACTGCCATCTCTGCAAGGACAGAATGCTGTCAGTCATGTCAGTGTCTAAACCCACCGTTCTGGGGTTGTTAGTCCTGCCCGTTTCCTTTGTATTCCCTGTGATAAGATCTCTTATTTTCCTGTCAAGCCAGAAGTGTATTTATGAATGAGATGTTATTGTGCGTGTGCCTGGTGAATTGTTGTAGCCCTTCTGTCAAAGACAGAATGTTTTGAACTTGATCTTCTAAATTACCCAACGCTTTTGCACGTAGACAAAGAGGCAGCCGAGCGTCTTTCGAAGACCGTGGACGAAGCGTGCCTGTTACTGGCAGAGTACAACGGGCGGCTGGCGGCGGAGCTGGAGGACCGGCGCCAGCTGGCACGCATGCTGATCGAGTACACCCAGAATCAGAAGGATGTCTTGACAGAGAAGGAGAAGAAGCTAGAAGTGAGTACTGGTGACACCGGTGCCGTTAGCCAGTTATCTCACCAAACGCTCCCACTTGAGCCCTAGTCTAGGTGTTTCTCTCCAGGGTGTTGGTTCTAGGTGTTATTTTTACATTTGGAGTAAAATGGGTAAGAAAACACCATAAAAAGTCTGGAGAAGACAAATCTGTTCTGATGTTCAGTCTGGTACATTTTAATACATGGAAGGCCCAGAACTCCACATTACTTAGAGAAAAATAGGCTTGTCTAACAAAATTTCTTCACATTTACTGTTTTTTGTGAAATCTCTGTTTCTAAAAAGTCAACCTTCCTTTGCCCTAATTAGCTGGGGTTTTTTGTTTGGGTTTTTTTTTTTTTTTTAATTCTTTTCCTTATGGGTGAGTGCCCCTCATCTGCCTTCCCAGACCTGACTTGATAAGGGGATGCAGTTTAAAGAAAATCTTCTGGTATCCATCCTTTAGCAGCCACTCTGACCTGCCACTTTGGTGATGGAGTGTAAATTGGGCTGATCCTGAACGACAAGGACTTGCATTTCCTGCAGTAGCTCCCTTGAGCAGGGAGGGCAGGACACTGTAAAATGGGGCTGTTGGGGCTGGACCTGAGCGCCAGCTGCGCACCCCAGAGCCCGGGCAGGGGCTGCAGCAGCCAGCCTTTTATCTGAGATGTTCTTTCTTGGGGGAAGTTCTTTCAGCGCTGCAACCTGGGACTAGTGTGGAAGTTTAATTAATGATTGTGGTTGTATGTCACTCTGCCATCTGCTGAACTGCCCCTTGGCAGCACATTAAGGGCTTCCTCTACGCTGTCGGCTGCTGGTTGTTATGAACAGCTGCTGCTGGGTGGGACACGAGGTGCTGTAGAGGACAAAATCTGCTGGAAGGAGACTGTGCTGTAGCAACTGCCCGCTCTGTTTACTGGCACGACAAACCTAATCCTCTGACAGCTAGGCAACACTGTTCTGAGGTGAATTTCATTTTGGATGTTTGCTTTGTCCTGTGTGTTTATATTAGAGTTTCTCAATGTCTTGTGACTGTGAACATGTTGCTTTTCCAGGGCAACATTTTTTCCAAATCAGCCTGACAAGGGCTGATTCTGCATTCAGTATTAGAGTGGATGGTTAATAACTCTGTTTTCTTGTTTAGCTTGAATTTCTTCAGGCACAGCATCTGTCTTATGACTGAGTCATTAGAAGGCACTTTCAGACACAGATATGAATGATGCTGTAGAACCGAGTCCTGTTTGGCACCTGATTTATTTGCTGAATACTAGTGGAAGTCTTGGGTCAGGTGTTTTTTTCCCTTCCTGAAAGAAGGATACCTGTCTAGTACCAACACGGATATGTGTGTGTATACAGATAAATATATAAATGATAGAATATTGCTGTTTACTTTTTTCAAGAAAAGCAAGAAATAGGTGGCAAAATGCTGCAATGTTTTAAAAAGCCCAGAACAATCCATAAATTTGAGTCACTTTGAGAGTGTGAAATTAAGAAATTCATAAGGTCAACATTAAATTAAAATTTCTAGTGCACTAGCTGAGATGTTGTGACAATTGTGTTGTTTTTTGTTTTGGAAAATACCCTTTTGGTAAGGAATATTACATGAAAATTGTAACTCTGTCAGGGGCAGAAATATAATCCTGAAAATTAAGTGGTTTACTGGCTGAGCTACTTTGTCAGTAGGAATAATCCTGCTGATGGCAGCAGGACAGGTTGCTTGCCCACTGTTAAGTGTAAACACAATCTGTAATATGTTGGGAACTAAAGAATGCTCTTATTAAATGTCTGGATCTTATTAAGTATCCGTTTAGGTTAGCATCGTTGTCATTCTGCCAAAACAAGGTGGCCTTAGTACTGTAGAAGTCTAGAATGAGTTGCAGGAAGTGCCACTAATACTTAACATGAAGGCACAACTGGTGCTCATGTCAGATCTCAGATCTGAGCCGAGGGATGTCGCTGATGAAAGCGTTCCATTGTTCTCCAGTTGTTCTCTGGTTAATAAATGGTGGGAGATGTTGGTTACAGATACGACAGGCCCTATCTGCTTATCGGGTTTGAGTCTTTGATGTTCTCACAGCAACGTCATTGACAAGCCGGGATTTTTCTTTGTAGTGCTAATAAGCATTTTAATAGAAGGATCTGAAATCCTTGTAGCAATTACGAATGTATTAAAAATTTCCTCACGCAAAGACTGAAATAAGAAAATAACTCAAACCAATCTGATTCTGTGTATGGTCTCATTGTGTGCTTCACCCTCTCCAGGTATCTTTTCCAGAATCTTTGGTACTATTGACTGTAAGTTTATTCTCTCGTGAAGTAAGTTTCCTGAGCTCAGATGAGATGGCATTTTCAGATGGAAGATGGATTGTTTACTTCACTATCCTAATCTAGCCAAGGCTGTTTGTTGGGAAAAGGGGTTTCTGATAGTAGTATGACTCAGGGCTCTTCAGACATTTCCATATCTTAAAATGATTTGCAAATCAGTCTGGGTATTTTTTGTATTTTATTTACTCACAAAGTCTTTCACTGTGATAGCAATGAAAGTAGCTAACGTACATCTTTTGAAAAGCAGCTTTTGCAGTCTAAAGAGCTGCAGTTGTTTGCTAATCCTATTAATACTCTCCCTCGTGGAACACAGCAAATTCTCAAAACATATACAGAAACTCCGTGTATTTATGTCTAGTGGGCTAACGCTCAAAATGCTTTGCCCTGTCAAAACCCTGTGACACAGAGCTCTTGTCATCAGTTGCAGAAAAGCTGTTTAATTAAGGAACAATATCCTGAGAAAGGTGGCTCTGGACAATGAATTATATTTCAGTAGTGATAGATTGGCCTGAGTAGGGATTGAAAGAACGTGGTGCTGAGGAGGACTGGTGGTTTGAAGGGAGAAAGCTGGCACAGAGCCTGAAGATCATAACATACAGACAAAGGCTGCTTTTAGGGTAGCAATTGAAGTAACTGAAAGTGTAATTATTAGGATTTATTGAGGGGTGGGACAGAGATTGTGATAATTTGACTGTAGTCTAAAATTACTCAGAAGGGGAAGGGAGAATTCCTTTACCTCGCGACCAGCTGCAGAGCGAAGGCAGCTGGACCAAAGCTTCTTTTCTCTCCTGATTTTTGTGTGAATGTTTGGCAGCTCTCTTCTTTTGACCAAAACTGCTTTTATTTCTAGGACTGAAGGGTTTCTTTACAAGGCAAATTAATGTCTGTTTTGTGAACAAACTCTTTAAATTTGTTTTCTATGAGGTTTGGGGGATTGTGACTGATTTGGAGAAGGCTGTTCCCCCCCAGTCCTGCCAGTTGCACTGTTGGTAATTGTGCTCAGCACACTGAGCAGTGCCTTCCGCTCTCATGTGGAGAAGATTGATTTATGCTTGTACAGTATGGAATACAGGGTGGAATATGGTTTTAAAACTAGGCTTATTCAAGTGTGACACTTGAGAGCATGTGGAAGGAGGTGGGTTTGAAGGCAGGAGGAAAATGCTGATACGCTTGGCTCACTTGACGTTGGAGAAGGGGAATTTTGAACTGCTTTTGGAAAGGCCAGGGGGACCAGCCTGGCAGAGGTGGAGTGAGCATTTATGTAGCCTGCAAACTGGGCATCTTCTGTGTGGAGCTTTTCTTGAGCATGAAACTGAAATCAAATGGTAGGCTTCTTTAAAAGCTAAGTAACAAATTACCTCTGGGTGTACATATGTACTGGAAATACTGATTAATAATAATCCATCCTTTCTTAGATAATAAAGAACAACTGAGAGGGGTGAAACCCCAAAACCAACAAACAAAAAACCCCTTAGTGTTCTAATCTTGGTGTGCTGTGTCTGAGTGTTGTGTCAGGATGTAAGACAAGGGCTTGTGTGCTGTTCACATACTCACTGAGCAGGAACTTGTCTCTCCTTTCTTTCTAAAGTTCTTAATTTTTGGTAATTTTCTCTCAACACCCTTCGTGTTGGTCGTTTCTTATAAATATGCTGTCATTGTGACATTCTTATTCTAGCATGTTTTAACAAGAATGTTTTAAACATAGGTTAAGTAGCAAGCAGCAAAAGCTGAGGAATACCTAATCAACCTGCTGTGTTAGTGGTGTATATTTAATATTGTTAAATAGAGGTTTTACGTGACCATATAAAAGCTGCTGTCAAACCTCTCCCTTCACTCTGTGCCCTCTTCCAATTTCTGCCCAGCCTCTCGTGCATATTTTCCCTGACCTCTGTGGTTTTTTGCTTTCGTGCATCTGGCTCAAGCTGCAGCACATCAAAACTGAGACTGACTGGCTGCTCTTCCTCTTCACTTTCTAAATTCTCATTAATGCTTAACTAAATGTTTTTCAGTAGATGCAATTGCTGTGATGACTTACAGCATGTTACTGCTTGATCCAGCACAGGAATGGAAGAGTCCAGTGCAAATTCTAAGCTAAAATGAAATGAAGTCTGTGCTGTGGAACTCGGCAAGGTGAACCAAGCCGTGCAGCAGTCCTCAGGATGAATTTCCTGTCATGTCGATTACAGTCAGTTTGATAATGTTCAAGCAAGGCTTCTTCTGAAGGACACACTTATGTCAGATTCATCCAGTGGTGTTTAATTCTGATTTTACATTTGTTTCAAGGACTAAGTGTCTAATTCACTTGGCCACCGTGGATGCAGAATGCTGCATACTGAAAGGGAATGTTGATTAGCAAAAGCATTCGTGTGGCACAGCGCCAGTTTTTTCTGTATCATCTTGAAACTCCTGCTTACAGCAAAGATCTCATTATTTTGTCTAAAAAAAGCAAATGGCATCCAAATACTATTAATCTTAATGAAAGCCTGCTATGCAGCGAGGCAATTAGCAAGACACATGGAGTACAAACTAAGACCTCAGAAAGCAGCGGTTTCTTTTAAGTGCACTTCATATTTTTTCAGTTTTATAGAATGGAGGGACCTTCTGCAAAAATCTGCAAGATGTGGCTTCAAAGTGTGTCACAGGCAACGTGAAAGGTGTGCTCTCGCAAAACCTGGCTTCCAGGGTCCTGCCTCGCAGGTTATGGCCACAGCTCAGCCTGTGGAACAGGAGAAGCTCCCGGGCCTGGTCAGGGGTTGCATGGCCCTGCTTGTGCCTGTTCCTGAACAGTTCCAATGGCAAATACAAATCAGCGTTCCCTGTGCTTCATACGAAGGGTTACGTCTCCCTGGTAGGTGCTTCTTCCACCTTGCAGCCAGACTTCAGAGTTCTCTGCCTCTAGGAGCAGCAGGAGTGAGGCGCTGCCTCCAGGCTCTGGCTTTGGCACCCTCTCTTTAGATCCTGGCCTTGTCCTTGGTGTTTGTGCCTGCCAGGCGCGGTCAGCACTCCCTGACCCAGCTCTGGCATCCTGTCTCTGAGTCCTTTACAGCTCTGCCACGAGTCAGCACAACGTTGTGGTCCTGGAGCAGATGGAAAGTGTTAAGCGTGCAGGAGACAGTTCTCTAGTGTAGTCTGTGTTGTGTATCAAATGTGTCCAGCAAGTATTAATTTCTTCTAGGAAATCTTGGTTCCTGGATTGCTCCTTTAGAACATCATTTCCTCATTTACATTCCTGAGTTTAGTGGTGCTTTCCTGAGCCAGAGCTTTTAATGGTTTTGGGGCTGTTGCTGCCTTTTTCTTGTGAGTATTTTTCTTTCTCTCTCTCAACAGAGAGGATTTGGGCCTCACTGCTTTAACAGAACTCCTGTGTGTGCTGGTTAATGCCTGCATTCACCTGCTAGTAAGGTCGAATTACTTGGAATTGAACAGATGTGGTTCTCAAGGTGACTTGATTTTCTTTGTCATCATATATGTGCTAAAGTCTCTGTTCAAATTGAGAAGGTATTTGTGATAGCTCAGTACTCCATGTAGATCTCAGTGTACAGTACCCCTAAAAATGGGGATATGTTAAGAGCAATATTTTCCTAAACATTTGAAGCTGTTAATTGTAAATCTGGGAACAGATTGCTGCTGTTGATGTGTAGAGGGATTGCTCCCAAGTCTGTATGTTTGCCATAGCATAAGAACCAGAGCAGAAGTAGTTTCATACATCTTAGTGGTTCTGAACTTGTCCCCCTCTTTTCTCAGAGCTGGGCTATCAAGCAAGGCATTGGAAAGATTTGCACTCCCCTAAATAGCTCTAGAAAGAACTGTTGTTTGGTAAGAAATTTTTAATGTTTGGATCTAATACAATTGTAATAGTCACACAAACAGTCTTAGCTAAAGAACCGTAGTGTCCCAGTCCCTACTGTCCACTAGAAGTAGCGCTCCTGGTCCTCTTGGCAGCTTTGCCCTGGAGGTGGCAGGACATTATTCTTCCCGTGGAGGCAGATGTTGCATCGTACCCGTTTTTACAGAATTCTTGTGCATGGATCTTGTCAGTTCAAGCAGTATTTGAGGTATTTTCTTGGCTTATGCTTGGAGTTTGCACCTTATGCCCATTTATCAAACTTGCAGGACTTGCCAGCTGCCTTGCCCTTCCTGATTTCTTCCCTATCTTTATAAGAATTACTGCAGAAAAAAATAATCTGCCGATATTCACTCTTATCAGTTTGGCATTCTCGAGAAAGCGCTGCCCTTTCTTTCCTGGCTTGATGTTCATCACCCCCTGACAATGTCCTGAATTATGGGGTTTTGGTATTGTGGGGTTTTTTTGTTTTGTTTTGGTTTTTTAAGACAATCTTTTGAGGGTAGCAAAAAGCAGTCTCTGAATCCAGCCTCTTCCACTTCCGATCTCTGAGCATTTGGAACATGATAATACACTGAGTATTTTTGCTGTCTGTGTCCCATAGGTGCAGGAGGTGGTGTTCTGGTGTCTCCCTGCCTCACGTTGTGCTGTGCAGCCATGAGCAGAGCACTCCATTGACCATCTCTCTCTTTCCCCAGCGCTGGCTTCCGTGTTCTCCTGGAGAAGGACACTAAGTGTCGGAGCGCAGGACTTCCACAGCTTTCCTCTTTAACTGCTTTTGTTCTGTATTCTGGGGTGTTTTCCTGGTTTTGTTCTCTGTCTTCATGACGTGACTTTTATGACTTCCCTGTTTAAGTGTTTCTCAGAATGGTATGACGAGGGAAGTGGGCTGCATTCTTATTTTGATCTGATTCCTTGTCTTAAAGACACAAAACAATCCTAAATGGATGGGTGCACCTTCCCCTGAGTTTGGTTTGTTGTTGTTCTCCTCTGGGCTTGCAAACAGTGCACTTCAGTTTATGAAGCTGGTAGAGCTTTGTTTGAACTTGATTATTCCAATATATATCCTATGTACATAAACAGAAGTGTTTGGCTATGGTGTATGTTAACTCACTGAACCTCATAAAAGGATTTACGTTTGAAATAGGCCATTAAAGGACATTCGTATTTGGTGCTGGCAGGAAATTTATGGAATATATTTATATAGCCATTCCAGGCGCAGGGGTGTTCCGAGTTGTTGTAACTGACTGCTGCTCTCACTATTCTAATTCCAAGTAATGAAACACACAGTGTAAACTCGTTGCTTGTAACCCTGCAGGAACTGCTCTGCTTTGATACTTGGAGAACGTGAAGAGAATTTCCATCATTGAGAAGGTTAGAAAGACTGGATTGCAGCTGTAAACTCTTCAGAAAGACCTTCTGATTAAATGTGTCCCTAGTTTTATTTGATCTTCAGAGATAAAATTATTTTCTCTGTTAAACTGTTATCTTTGCCAAGTAATTAACAAATGAAAAGTAAGTTAATATTACAACTGGCTGTATGGAAGTCCATTCTGTGTGTGATTTTTCTTAAGCTGATTGTTTCCTGCATTCTGGAGATGCCACAAAAAATAGGCCATGCGTGGTTGGGTAAAGTGGTGCATTCCAAAAGAAATGATGTGATGCTGGGCTTTTATTGCTTAAATAGGTCTCTTCTGACTGTTACATAAATGTTTAGAATCACAAAACTTGGAAAATGACATAAGCATCAGTCTTTAATTGAGCTTCTGTATTAGATAACTTGGATATGTGTTGCTCTGCTTTTAAATGGCCTCTAAACGTAATTTCACAAGGTACAGTTCATTCTTTCATTTTCAGGGTACAAACTCTTGCTCTGTCCTCTCGTTGTGAAGTACCCGTCACTGTTACCTCTTGTCTCTTAGATGTGGAGATTTCTGAAGCTGGATAGATGTTTCTTACTGGGCTCAATCCAGACTGCATTTGTGGAAAAAACTACTTGCAAGTTTCCTCTTCAGGGATTTTTAACTTACCCTTTTCCTCCCTTTGTAATAAAATTCTGAAAATTTCAGTGTCTGTGTTTTGCTTTCAGTCTAGTGTGGTTGTGTCTTTCTCTGGCTGATGTTTAGTGATCATCCCCATATTTCTGTGTTGTTTGCCAACATGCCAGTCTCGTGGTACGGCTGCTGTGGTTGCTAACAGGAGTTGTCTAACAGCTCATAGAGGAGACCCTGTTTCACAACCAAAACTTGGTTTTGATGTAATGACTTGAAAGGGAATATTGGATTATCTAAATATTCAAAATTGACCAAGCTTGAAAAAACCAGCACTTTAGCAGCATGGTAACAGCAATACCTCTGGTGTACCTGTGTCGGTGTCTGAGGAACGCTGTCCATGTTCCTCCTCCGGCAGCGGTGGGAGTCAGCAGCCTGGGGAGGAACACCAGGATAGAGCAGCTCTGTCATGACACGGCTCTTGAATGCTCTGCCAGGCCCCAGTGGGTGCAGGTTTGGGGGCGTTTCACTGAACTTGTGTTAAAGTAACACAGGGCAGGGTTAGTGGTTCGGGGATGCCAAAGCCCATGGACAGGCTGAGAACCTGGGCGCAGGTGACGGGGTCCGCAGTCATGCCAGCAGCTGCTCAGAGAATCCTCACACCTCACATCCTTGCCACCTTCTCACAGAATCCTCACCTGGAAAACGCTCCTGGCTTAACTAAAAGCACTGTTAATTAACCTGTGCTTAACATCCCTTCTCTTGTCTCTTCCCTCAGGAATATAAGCAGAAGCTTGCTCGGGTAACCCAGGTCCGCAAGGAGCTGAAATCCCACATCCAGAGCCTTCCAGATCTGTCCCTGCTGCCCAATGTCACAGGAGGTCTGGCACCTCTGCCGTCTGCTGGTGACCTGTTTTCAACAGACTAGAACAAATGCTGTCCCCAAGTTTCCATTATTACCAGCAGAAGTAAGAAGACTCTGGTGTTGACTGGAAAGCCAGTCTTCCAAGATCTACAGTAGGAAGGAACTTGCAGACCCTGCTTTCAACCTCTTGGCTGCTCCTGCTCGCCCTCTCTCTGGGTGCACTGGCTCACGTTGAGGGGAGGAAGAAGAGCGAGTGTTTGTGAGCTCTCAAGGCCGCGGGGATAGTCCTCATAGGCAAACTTTTCTCATTTTTCCATACTCTTTAGTTGCTATTTGCTCTTAGCACTTGTTACCCCCACAAAAGTCATGAGAATTATGTACATACATACCTGGAACGTTTTCAAAGAAAGGTTGACCACATAACATTTTTCTCTGTAAAAATATTGTATTATTTCTGTATAAGTCTTGTCTGTTTTAGTTGGGTTTCTGAACCTCGTCTCTGAGAGCAGGGGGGTGGCTGCTGGGCTTGGCAGGGGTGTGTGTGTGTGCAGGTACCGTACCACGCAGCGGCAGGAGGAGGCATCTGCTGAGCAATGGTACAGAGAAGGATTTTTCTGAAATCTACAGTTCCCCGTACTGTTGTGGGACTGATATGAAAATAGTTCCTATTTGGCACGGACGTAAATTGAAATTCACCCCAGGCAATAAAAATAAGCAGCTTTTCTTTGTGAATTAGAGAGAGCTTCATAATTTACACTCTGCTGAGCAATGCAGAGCTGGATATTACCTAAATGAGAGTGGAAGTAAATTTTGTTCTAGCTGCCTTAGATTTATACCACATTTTTCCTCTTCGTTATATGAAGTTAGATGGTCACAGAAGCTTTGGTTTAGGGGAACTGGGAGGTTGGGATGGTGTGTGCAACTGGTGATACCACAGCGATCTGCTCTGAGGATGGTTACATTGAAAATACTATTCTACAAATTCTCTTTGTAGCTTTAGTGAAATTACTTGATGCACAGAAGTTAAATGTGGTATAAATATTTATTTATATAGAAAATAGACCCATATATGCACATATCCTGTATGCACATGTACCATGTCCATGCATGTAGATACTAGAAGGATGTACTTAATTTTGTGTCACAGATTATTGTGAGTTGATTTTTATAATTGGGACAAGTTTAAAAAGAAAAAAAAAGGCAAATTTAATATACTCTGAATTCCATAATTCCATGATGTGGCTAGCTAATGTTTTAGCTGCCGAGGATGTAGATACATTTCAGTTTGTGTGTTGGGTCTAACAAGCTGGACTCTGATCACTGAAGACCATTCCAATTTGGATAACAATTCTGTTTAAATTTAGCACCTCTCACGAAGAAACATTTTAGGTTTCTGGAAACACTTGATCTGACGAGATAGGTTTGGTAACACAGAGGCTGAAATTGGCTGAAGTGATGTGCTGTGTTTGTGCCTCTTAAGCTGCTGTTGTCAAAGACATGAGAGGAACCCTACAGAAATGCAAAGCTTGTTCTGCATCCTCATTAATTTATTTCACAGGGCATTCAGCAGCCTATTCAGTTAAAACAAATAATACAGTGGGTGGTTTTGGTCATTACGTTGTTACGAAACTCACGTCCTTTTCTTACTGACACTTCATTTTGTCCTGTTTTAAAAGCTCCTTGCACCCTTCCTGCCCAGCCAAGGAATGTGGTTTTCTCTTTAGTTCCCAGGAGATTTTCCAGTGGCAGAACTGTTCTTCCCAGGAATTGATATGACTGTGCAGCCTTTTATGGTCCAAACATGATTTAGATAAAGTGCTGTACATCCTCTCTGCTTCTGCCAAAAATTAAAAGCAAAAAAAAAACCCCACCAAACCTTGAAAACCCAAAGCAAAAGGCTCATTTCTCTCGTGTCTCAGCTGGTGGAGTTACCCCGCGGCTGTTTTAACCAATAATTATTTTGACCATTGGTTGAATGTGTATCCACAAAACCTGTCATAAAAAAACTCTGTAGACAAATGTGTTGCCATCTCACGCTCTTGTTTTGGGCAGATCTTCTGTGAGAGTTGTATGTCTTTTTTTTTTTTTTTTTTAAATTGAAATGTTTTGGGTTTTTTTCCAAATATATATGTGTGGTTTATTTTGCTTAATTTAAATGAAGTCTTGTGGTTTTTAATTTTATTTGTTTTACTTTTTGGGCAAAGGGCATCTAGTGAACTGGGTGATGTTCTCTCAAGGTTAAACAAGATTTCCCCAAGGTGTGTCTTTTTTTTTTTAACAAAAGCTTAAATCTGTAAATGACTTGATTTAGGAATTAATTTAGACATATAGGCTGCCATTTGTGACAGCAGTATATTCTGAAATGTCTCATAGATATCTATTTTTGAATAAAGAGGGTGTCGTTGAATAGTAGTGCTTTTACTTTTTCTTTTTCCCCACAATGCAGGTGGTGTTCTGGCACGCCGTGGGTTTTGGTTTGGGGTTTTTCCCTCTAAAGTGGGAGGCAGGGATGCTGAACAGAGGTGCAGAGGGTCGCTTGAGAGTCACATCAACAGCCTGGCAGCTTCTAAGCCAAATCGATGTGCAGCTTCCTCAGGTCGTCACTGCAATGAGCGAAAATAAATGACCCTCCCCTGCAGTAACCTCTGATTTGAGGGGCACGAGGTACAGAGAACGAGCTTCTTAATTTATAAATGAATTCTGGTTAATGGAGGAGGTGTAAATAATTACAGTTCCAGCAGGATCTGTCACGCTGCATCCTCGGAGCCTCTCTGCTGTCGAGGAGGGGGATCCTCACATCTCACTGGGGGTTTGTTCTCTTGGAGGTGTGGGGGGCTCAGGGGTTCTTCAGTCAACTGCTCTGCAACGGTCTCTTTGGGCAGACTGGGCAATTGTTTCGTACGCCTTGGTCTGCAAAGCTGCTGGCATTCTTACACCAGTTTACAAAACCTCCATTAAAGGGACTATATTTAGCACTGCTTTCGTGCAGAAGTTCGATGTGGAGCTTTGTGTGAGTAGGAGGGAGTCTGATGTGATTCCTGCCAGTGAAAAGCCACCTTTGTATTGTGTTTGTAGGAACTAGAGTGAGGTTTTCAGAGACAGAAATGTGACTCAGTACTGCGTGTACTTTCTTGCCTTTGAGAATTTTATTATTATTTTTTAAGAGCTGAAACAAATAGCTCCAAAAATATTTGACTGTTGTGCAGCTTCCCGTGCAGGTGAGGACTCAGTGCACTGGTGGGTTCCCTTCACCCTGCCGACTCCCCAGGTGCTGCTGTCTAATGAGCTGATGTTGGTTTACGGGCCCGTAGGAGGTCCAGAACTGGATCCTGGTTAACTGACAGGTGAGTCTGTAGGGTCCCAGGTGACAGGAAGGTGAGGCTGGCCCAGCCCCACAGCGGTGGGGGCTTTCTGGGGTGGTGGGAGTGGTTGTGCTGCCCGGCACTGGGTGTCTCGCCCCAGAGCCGCATTCCTGTGGGCTCCGTCCTGTATTTACTTGGGCCAAGTGCCGACACCTTCCCTGGTCAGTTCTAAACTTCACGTGTGTTTATCTTTAAGATTAAATGGAGAACGTATAAAATGCACCTCGTGCCATCTGAAAAAAACTGCCCTTGTGGAATGTTTGAATGAAATGTCGACAGAGACGCGATGACGGTCTGTCAGTGGAGTGAGACCGGGACACGCGCTGGCCAGTGACTTCACTTGGTTTAGGGAAGTGCTGTGGGCACCTGCTGCCTCCTCCCTGTTTGTGCTCTGTAAGGTTGGGGTCCAACACCTTTCCTAGGGCTCGTCATATCTTGGAGATTTTTGGGTAAACAAGCAAGGAAAATGAGCCAGAAGAACTGGGAAGCTTTGGAAGCCTCGGAGGCTCAATAGTGCTGCAGGACAACAGTAAAGGGCTTTGAATTAGCACCAAAAATAGTATTTTTGTACTAGCTTAGAAAGTAAATTCTTGTCTCCATAGGTGAGTAAAATGAAAGTGAAGTTTGAATCAGTGGTCTATAAAGCAGAAGGATAAAAATGTTCCTGTTAAAATACAGCAAGTAAAGAGTCTCAGATGAAGGTTCCGTGGTGCAGGAAATGCCAGGGGTGGTTTCGTGGCGCAGTTTGGCGGAGGGTTGGGGGTGGGGGGAGCTGGCTTGGTTGGGCAGCACCTGATGTGGAAAGGAAGAATCAAAGTTGGAGGTTTTACATTCCTCAGGCTTGGATTTCGTGGGAGGATCCAGGACGTGCAGGGGAGGGTGTCTGTGCTGGTCAGTGTGCTGAGCCTGCGGGGAGGCTCGGTGAGGAGCCCAGCTCGGGGCTTCTCCAGCAAGTGCAAGAAGCAAATAAGGTGCTTTAAGGGATTGTATCGTGGAAAGGAAGGTCTGGTGGAAAGAGGATTGAAAAGAAATGGTGGTGAAATACAATGTAAATGCCTTGGTGTATTCCAGAGACCTGCTGGAGCCTTTTTCTTCTTCCTTCCCCTCTTTCCACTTGCAGAACTCACGTGGGAAGTCTGGAAGGCAATAGTGGATGGAAAATTGTTTCTTTATTTGTATTTTCAGTAGATTTGGTGTGGTGGTGCCTGGCTGGGTCACTGTGGCCGAGCATCGTGATGCTGCGGAAATGAATCACTGTGAGAACTAATAATAAATCGTGAGCAGATTTAGGGTCTGGTCTTTTCTGTCTGGGAACAGGCGAGGGACTGACCGAAAGCACTCCCGTCAGCTCGGGGTGCCGGGCTGGCTCTCACCAGTGTCCAAACTGGTTTGTCTGTGAGTCCAGCCCAGGCAGGAGCGGTGTGAGGGGCAGGATGGGGAGCTGGGGCTGAAACCACGGGGCTGGGCTGTTCCCTCGTCAGGGGTTCAGGCGGGCAGGGAAAGGCTGTTCCAACTCTACTGGAGTGTCCAGGCAGAAGGAAACATCTCCGTGGTGTCTCCTGCTCCTCCTGTGGTCTGGGACCAGGGGGATGGCTCCCGTGGAGCTCTGGCTGGCTGGGTTCAGTTATGGGGTTTTTCTCTCACTGTTTGCAGGTGCCTCCGGTGTCCCCTTGGTTGGGTGAGCGGTAAAACGTGTTTGTGTCTGCTGAGGAGGGGGGAGAGCTTTGGAGAGGTGGTGGGATTTGAAAAACCCGCAGAGTTGTGCTTGCACATACTCTAATTTGTGGTAGTTTGTTCTAGTCTCGATCCATCAATGAAGGTAGTAAGTTAAAGGTCCTCAAGTCTAAAATGAGATTGCAGTCACTTCTTGGCAAGTCAGCGTCTCTGACGAGCTGAGGTGGATTAATGACCTCTCCTCCACGCGTGAACAGCCTCACGTTGCTTTGGCACTTGGGCAGATGCTCAATTATGAAATCTCCTGTTCAATGGAAGCTGTAAATGTTTAATTTACAACTCATCGCTTGCGTGGCAAGAGGGCCCGAGAGTCTCGTGGTTGTAGCACAGGGCAGCGTTCGGCGATCAGGGCTGCGTGCAGGGCAGTGTCCCCAGGCTGTGGCAGCCACCGGGGAAAGGCTCCGCGGGGCCGGTCACGCTGTCCTTGCAGTCCCCAAAGGTGTGTGGGGCAAACACCCGGGGGCTTGACGGAGGGGCCTCAAGTGATTCACTGAGCTCTGCAGAGAGCTGGGAAGGGGTCGGTGGTTGCTGGGGATAAGGGTGAGAAACCAGCCCTGGAGAGAGCTCGTTTCTGGTCAGAGCAGCCTTGCTCTGCCGAGCCTCAGATGGATGGGCCTGACCTTCAGAAAGAGCTGTGCTAATGTTTATTTTATCAGGACCCAGCTTCGAACCAGAGGAGCTGCCGGTTATTTTTAAACCAGGCATTGAGCAGCTTGAAGCCTGGCTCAGCAGAGCTGCGGGTAACAAATGCTCTCTCCAGCAAGGCCGTGCATCACGGCTGGCTCTGAGGAATGGTCCTGCCAAGGGACGCGGCGCTGGGCTCCCGCTCTTAACTCCTTCGGGCTCCGCACTGGCTGCGCTCCGGGGGCTGGGCTGCCAGAGCTGGGGGCTGCCATGGACCCACCGATCGCCCTCCCAGAGAGTCCCCGTCCCTGTCCTGTGGGGTCCCCTGTGTTACCAAGTGTCCCCCGTGTTGCCGGCCCAGCCCGGGCAGGCGTGGGAACCCTTGGCTGCGGCAGCACCGGTTCCGTCGCGGTTTTCCTGGTGTTTGTTTAACACGGGCAGGGAGGCTCCCACGATGTTTGTGGGGAGAAAGCGGGAGGGTTGTGTCCTGCCGTGGGAAGTGCTTCTCTTCCGCAGTGCCTTGACCCCCTGTTCCAGGCTTGAGATAAATCCTCACCCTCCTCCCACATCCCTGCGCTCAGCCACCCCTTTCCCTCCCTCCCAGGGTGGGCTCCTCGTGCTGCGGCTCCTGACCCACCGTCTCTCTGGCAGCTGCCCGCAGGGAGCCCTGACAAGAGCCTGGGCACACAAAATCTCTTCATCTCATTTCCTGTGCAGGTTTTCTCTCCCGTTCTTAGTGCAGCACCATTATGGGAGAAGCACACCGAGAATGTCTGGCATCTGCCCTGGCCGCTGCGCAGGCGCTGGGCGAGGAGCTGCTGGGTGCCTCTGTTCAGAAAGGCTGCTCGACAAGGGACAGGGTGGCTTTGGAAGTGAAAAATAGAGGTTTTATTCAGTGCTTGCATAGTTAATTCATGTCAAGGTAACATCCCATCCCTCAGTGCACGGTGTCTGCAGCGACAGGAGTGGTTATTAAAGCCAGGGCCCTGCTTTGCCTATGCAGCAGGGCTATATGCAGCGTGTGTTTCTATGGCTATAAATAGATTTATGTTGTTTGTGTATATAGCATATCGACAGATCTGTGCTCACAGTACCAATTGTTACTGAATGGTGCTCAGAGAATGGCGAGGGCAGGCGTGAGCGTGGCTGAGGTGCAGTCAGTGCTGGAGGAGGTCGTGCTGCTCTTTGGTTTATGAAACCTGCGGCTTGGGGGGGGACTGGCTGCTGCCAGCGCTGCAGGAAGAGGAGGGGGCTCAGGGGGGTCCCTGCGGTGCCCAGGCTGGGGACAGGCAGGACAGGGATGTTTCCAGCCCGTGGGCTGAGGGAAGGCGGTGAAGCCTGTGGCTGCTGCAGGGAGCCCCTAAACACCTCCAAAAGCCCCCAGCCCCTCTCTCCTGTCCCTGCTCCTGTCACGTCTCTCCCCGCAGCACCGAGTGCTCCCGGGGAGAGATCTCTTCTCTCTGGCCACCAACACCGGGAGCAGAGGCAATGGCAGGAAGATGTGGCAGGGAAGGGTGAGGTTGGCCATGAGGAAAAGGTTCTTGAGGCAGAGGGTGGTGGAGCACTGGAACAGGCTCCCCAGGGAGGTGCTGATGGCACCAAGCCTGACAAGATTCCAGCAGCATTTGGCCAAGGCCCTCAGGGACATGGTGTGAATGTTGGGGTTGTCCTGTGCAGGGACAGGAGCTGGATGTGATGATCCTTGTGGGTCCCTTCAACTCACACCGTTCTGTGATTCTATGATTCGGCAATTGTCCTTCCGCACACCCCAGGGACCCTCTTGGGCTAAAGCGAGCGGGGGGCCGGTGAGCCCCCGTGCCGGAGGGGAGGCAGGGTCTCTGCGGCAGCGGGGGCGCGGGGGG